AGATGGCCGGGCTGCCCCGCAGGATCATCAAGGAAACCCAGCGTTTGCTGGCAGAGCCGGTTCCTGGGATTAAAGCCGAACCAGACGAGAGCAACGCCCGTTATTTTCACGTGGTCATTGCTGGCTCCCACGATCCCCCCTTTGAAGGAGGGACTTTTAAACTTGAACTATTTCTGCCAGAAGAATACCCAATGGCAGCACCTAAAGTACGTTTCATGACCAAAATTTATCATCCTAATGTAAACAAGTTGGGAAGAATATGTTTAGATATTTTGAAAGGTAAGTGGTCACCAGCACTGCAGATCCGCACAGTTCTGCTGTCGAGCCAGGCTTTGTGAAGTGCTCCTAATCCGGGTGACCCATTAGCAAATGACGTAGCGGAGCAGTGGAAGCCCAACGAAGCCCGAGCCATGGAAACAGCTAGAGCGTGGACCAGGCTCTACGCCATGCATAATATTTAAGTCGATCCGATCATCAAGTCTGTGTCCCTTCTGTTCTGCCAAGACTTCTTCCTTTTTTGTTTTCATTTAATGGACACAGTCTTAGAACATTACAGAATAAAAACCCAGACATTTTCAGTCCTTTGGTGATTAAATGCACATTAGCAAATCTATGTCCTGTCCCGATTCACTGTTGTAAAGCACGAGCAGAGGCTGCAGTTCCATCTGGATTGTTGTGAAGCGTTTAAAGGCAGTGGCCCTCTGCTTTTACTCATTTTCCCCACCATGGTTTAAGTATAAAGCACTGGGAATGAAGGTAGCTGTCCGGGTTGGCTGCAGGGGTATGGGTGTTCTTTATTTTATTTTATTCTATTTTTTGAGGGGTAAGGTAGTTTCAAAATTTTGTGCCCCCACCCTCCTTTTTATGGTGATCCAATTGCATTGGTTATAAAGCAGCTAACCAGTTATTTAAGATTCGCTCTCTAGCCAAGTCTAACTTTATTTAGATGCTATAGATGGACAAGCTAATTGTTTGAACCAAAATGGGAACATTAACAAACATCACAGCCCTCACTAATAACATTGTGATTTTGCAGTCAGTGTAGATTCCCCCTTCAAAAAAAGCTTGTTACCATTTTGTATAGCTTGTCTGGAAACTTCTGTAAATCTTAGGTTTTAGTAAAATATTTTTTGTTATTCTCCTTTGCCTTTGTACAGTTTATTTTACTGTGTTTATTTCATTTTCCCAATGTGACAATC